CTTTGACACTCTTGTTTCTTTCTCTCTTACTATTTGTCAGACCATCCATCTGCTGTCAAACTATCATCTTCATTACGAATGTGTAAGACTAAAAGGGATTTTTAAATTTCTTAACTTTTCCCGGCTGAACACCTGTGAGATTTGCGTGTACGTGTTCTGCGGCACGTCGGATACCTAGTGTTCGAACTTGCGTCACAGCTTTCCTGACTATGCATCGCTTCCCGTTATCCGTTATCTCGGTCAAAAGTCGGGGATAGCCTGCCGACAGATGTAATTTCCATTCGCCATGATCGGCCGATGACTCTCATGACGTTGCAATACATTTTTGTTAGAATTAATTTTCCTGTTTACAATAATCTGCGGGTAGGACACTGTCTTACATAGATTAAATTGCAAGATTTTTGCTTGTCATTCCATTGTATTTTAATCGAATCATTCTTTATCTGACTTTCTCACGTCACGTATTATAGAAAGGATTTTCCTGAAAATTTTATCCTTTGAACTTCTCATCGTATCGCCGGTGAATCATCCTTCACCTAATAGCCCCTAATTCTCCACAAAATTAAACATGCAAACTACAAGGGAAGATTATCATAGATATTTCCATTTTATTTTATTTCATTTTGATGTTTCAGCCCTTTTACAATCCCTCTAAAAAAAAAAAAAAATATTGTTTGTCACACCATTGAAATACTAAAGATATCGAAGTGTTCATTAATAATTATATCTCCGACTTAGTCCAAGTGACGCGGGACAAACCGTATTTTAAGAAAAAACACACAGACAGACAGAACAGCCATGATTCTTTGAACCGCATCCGCGTTTGCATGATTCTCCCCTAGGAAGGATGTCAATGACAAACTTTCACCGTGCATTGTCGAATAATGCGCCGGGAAGTGTGACGCGGTTGACGTCTAAGGCCGAGAGTACGATGGAGGAGAGCAGCAGGCAAACCGGAAGCCATTCAGTTAGTTGGCTTGAGCGAGCGTGCTAACAATGTCGTACTTACGTTACTAACCTACTTGAACGGACTCTACAGCTGATACAACATTAAACTCGCGCGATTAATTTACGTCGTTTTGTGTAGCCAACCACGTTTGTTTACCACGTATGTCCGTGTACACGAGTGTATGTGCTGCGACAGTGAATTAGCGAATGATCGGGCGACTCGCGGCGCGGGAACGATACGTTTGTAAGTGACTGGCTGCTTCGAGGGGAACAACGAAATTCTAACGTTGAATGTAACGTGATCCAATCAAATCTTCGATCCTTTTTCAATAAGCTTCATTCATCAATCCATTATTTTCCATTAACTCTTCCAAAGAACTTTAACTTTGAATTTCTTTCTGCCTTATTGAATGTCTTCATCTTGCACGAACGCGTGTAATTCTCTTGTAATTTGATTATTATTATTATT